AGTGAAATTTTTTCTGAATTTGACATGCATGAAATGTAAGTTTGAATTAAACTAAAAGATGACCTCCATCCTAATTTATTATTATCATTGAATGGCAACCTCCATAATATTGGTACAGTTGATCGGCACCAAATTCTATTCACAAATAAACAGTTGTAAAGTGTTGATTTGTCTTGTTCAAGTTGTTCAAATATTTCCTCGAGACATTCTGGTGGAATTTTATGAAATGTTGTTGTTGCCATTTTGATTTTTGATTTTGACTTTGATTTGATTTAGGATGTGAATATGATTTCGACTTTGATATTGATTTTGATTTGGACTTGGATTTTTGATTTGATTTTTGATTTAGGATGTGAATGTGAATGTAAATGTGATTTTGATTTTGATTTTGATTTTGATTGATTTTGATTTTGATTTTGATTTTGATTTAGGATGTGAATGCGATTTTGACTTGACTGATTTTTTTTTAAAACAAAAGATCGAAGCAAACACACACTTGTTTATATACTTAAATAATGGTGCTATGCTGTTAATTGATTCATATTTTCTCGGATAACCAACTAGTCCCTTTTATGGTGTATTTGTAATGCTGTGACGAGAAAATGACGATGAAAAAAAATTCATGTTGAATGACGCAATATTGATGGATGAAATTGTTTGATCATTTTAGGTTAATCACTTATGAAAAACGTCGTGATCCACCAATTAAGGAAAGTATTTTAATTTAATTAATGCCGATCCGGGCAAATTTCATTGTAAAATCAAAATTAATTAATTTTTCAACCCCACGCATTTATTATGTTATTTTTATATCAAAATATGTTAAACAAATGTGAAATATTTACTTATTTAGGTCATGTATATAGTCGTAAAATAACATTATTATTAAAATATAGAAAAAATTATGCAAGACAAAGAGAATGAAAATTATAACTTCAAAATAATTAATATTAAACAATATTTAATATTAAACAATATTTAATATAATAATAACATTATATCCTTTTCTTCCGACATCCTTTAGCAAACAAAAATTGAAAATAAACAGGCTATAGTTCATTCTCTCTATAACGAACATTGAATAAAGAACTCTATAACGAACATCTTAGTAAACACTATAATGAAAAAAGACACATATAGGGATGAAGATTCATTATAGAGAGAATTAACTGTATATTATCTTATGTTTCCTTATTTAAAAATGAATTATGAAAATTATTTTCACAAAATGCCAAGTAAAAAATTACAGGAAGCTCCCACGTTTTCTGAAATCCAGGGTTGCTAAATAGCAAAGTCAAAAACTTGTAAAGAAAACAATAATAAAAAATATAATAATGGTTGAGATTTTTTGCATCATATTATTTAATATTCTGCGTAATATTCATCATGTGTGCTGGTAGAAAAATTTGGAAGTTGGTCAATTGTAACCATTTGATAGTGATGATCCCCCACAATTTACTAATTAATTTTCAGAATTTTATCTACTTCTATCACGTATCACTAATTAAAGTAAAAAGAAAATTATGATATAACTTCCATGAAGAATAGGTATATAGAACAAATAGTATATATGGGCATGCTGCAATAAAACCAGACAAAGTGAACATTGGTATTACCAAAATTTCAGGGTTCAAAATTTAGTTGTTTGTAATGTTACTAATTATTTGCTCTCAAAATCACTAATCATAATTATTTCTTTAACAAAAATTTTGTATTTTTCTCAATATACTTATCTCTATAAAGTGTAGTTTTGATCAAAAATCGCCTCACTTAATTATTCATAATGTTTTCAATCGTGAATAAAGGTCCATATTTCAATATTTGATATTGTACGTGCGTGAATATACCCTGTGTTATCACATTCGGTAGGACAACTCCATTCAAACCAGTTGAATATACCGGATGTGGTCATAGATTTTTCTTTTCTGGGTACAAGGAGCAAAGATTGAGATTTGTTCCGGAAAATACTCGAACCAACCAGACTTTAGAATTTTCAATCATAATCAGACTTTTTTAAAATATAAAATATTGAAATCCTAAAAATTTGAATTTAGTAATGAGTTATAAAAGTTTGAGTGAATTTAGTTATGTGCATGATTTTCTATTTAATAAAAGTTTTTTATTTAAAAAATTTTTTCTCTGATATATATAAAAGCGCATTAGTATCCGAAGCATTCACAAAGAACAATTCTATTATCACAATGGTCATAATTTGTTATATATTACTAAATATTCTAACTCCTTTACGATATATACGTATTCCAATTCACAGACACACCCCAATTTTAGCTTATCCGTGAAGAACAAGAACCAATATAATTTATATAAATAGATGTTGTGCGTGAATTTGGAATCTGCGTCAATTTGAAATTCACGCGCGTGAAATTCAAATTAGCCAATCAGAATTTT